CCCCCAAAACCCCAAAACCCCAAAACCCCTTTAAATAACTCATAAATTGAATCTAAAATTATCTGAAATCAGCACTTGAGGAGACCATTTTGAGGATTGGCTCCTAAACCTGAATTTTATTGGTTATTTGGGTCCCACATTCCTTCTTCACAATCCGGGTCATTATAGCATTGGTGTTGTAATCGACTCTGGAACCGAGGTAGGAAGTAGGCTCAATTGTAACTGGGGACCTCATATAATCAGGAGTTTCATCATCCCCTCCGTATGTTATAGGGATCTCTCACTCTTGGATGAATGATTTGAAGTTCTGACTGACAGTTCCAGTAAGTTTCTTCCTGCCTGCGTGGTTCTTAAAGCTGCTATATCCATCTGACTTCTTCCGTATATGGTCTACACTGGAACCAATCTGGAGTCTATTTGTCGGCTTTTTCAGGTTATTCTGGGATCTTTGAAACGCTTTCTTGGCCATCTTCTCTCTATGCCTATTAAAAAATCTTGAAGAGCCACAGGCTGAGTTCATCCTTTGCCTTGTGCTGCTTCTCTTAGAAAGCAGTAACATATGGCTCTTTTGAGCTCTTGGCCTCAATTGCTTATGTGAGAATGTAACTCCTGTGTCCCCCATGTAGTCTTGGTGACTGTTGTATGAATTATTTTCTTTGTCCTAAAATTTAAGCCCCTAATCTTACCTTCTCATCAATGATGGACTCGAGGCCTTCTCTTTTGGATTGCAGGAATTCACCTATATTCGAGCTCTCATAGCCATGCTCGGATGTTTTACTAGAGCTGATAGGTCTCAGGTTAAGCTTTCTGGGGTTCAGGAACTCTGAATATGATTGATCTAGTTTTGAAAATGATTTGTTTTGTAATCTCAAAACTTCTTCTATATCCCTTTCACGATGGCTCTTTTTGTCTAGATGTAAACCAAATATCTAACCCTCTGATTTAGCAAAGGATCTGTTCCTTCAGTCTCGATGGTGCTCTTCAGGGGTTATAATATCACGAGGCCGAGGCTTATTTATTATTCTACAGGTTATTTGGAAATTACTCTGATCTTGCTTATCTGAATCTCTGTATATTTTCTAAGCTCTTCTTCCTCTTTGATGAATTTTTGAAGCTTTTCATCAAGAATGACCTTATGGCCTGCTTCAGAGTACTTCTTGAGAAACATCATGTGTTTCTTCAATTTCTGATTGGAACTTATGTTCCGGGGAGAGACATAGCATTCACCACTAAATTTAACCTTCTTCGTAGTAGTCTTTTTCTCTAAATTTATTCCATTGTGATGTTTTGGGGATCCAAAGGAGCCTACTGCATCTGTTGTGAGCAGATCCTTTGGTGCTGAATAATTCCGAATGGGCTGATGCTTTTCCATGCGTTTCTTTCTTCGGTTGACATTGATTCTATATTCCCTCTTAAGACCTTCTGTAAACTCTCTTTCATTCCTATTGTCACTACCAAGGATCTTCCGCTGAGGCAGAAATGATGAAGACTTGCCCTTCTTCCTCTCTCGTTGGCACTTGCATGATTTTGCAGCTGACTCAGGAGCTTCTTTCTGAATCTTTTGGCTCTAAAGATAACTAAAAAAGGAGCCTACATGATCAAAGCTTCGCTTGGTTCCAAAAGTAGACAAGGGTTTCTTCTTCTCCTTGTGATGCTTATTGCCTATCAGGTTGAATAAGGATTTCATTCATTTCTCATTGGTTTCCCATCCTTCATTGTCTCTTACTAAGTCAGCCACTACATTATAAGTCCTAATTTTTTGGGTGAACCACTTACCGAGAATTTTGCCTTTGCCATCCTTCCTTCAGATCATCTCCATTACTTTTCTATGAAGAAAATATGAAAAATTTAATTGAGATTTTGAAAATAATTTTAATGGGAAATACAATTTTTAGATGCTTTTAATGATAAAAATGACTTGAGAGGAAGGTTTACCTGTAATTATTTACGCTCTTCATCGCTCATATCGAAAAAGTCACATTTAAGTGAGCTTTTACCTTCTTCGATGGTGAAAATGTTAGCGCTGAGAACTACTTTTGGCTCTTTTTCTTTATTTTTGAAGACTTTTCTGCTTGCTCATTAAAGTATCTCCATGCTTCTCTAAAAATAAATCAACTTCATTCTCATCAAAATCCAATCCCTAGGTTCAAAATTCAATTCTAAACCCAAATTCCACCTCTAAACCACCCTCAGTCCACTCTAAACCCACCTGTAAACTCCTTCTTCAAATTCAATCTTCTCAACCTCTTATTCTGCTTTGGTAATCTCTCATTAAAATCCCTCATAACCAACCCTGTCTTCTCATCTCTCTGATGGAATCCATCCTGCTTGGCACTTTCCATTACCTCTTTTCTGGAAATGGCTATTACTTATCCAAAGTTTCTTACTCTTGGTCAGAGCCATAAATCTGTTCTTCTCCTCAAGCCTCTGCTTCAGTCTGATCTCTTTCTCTCTAAATGTAGTCAGCTAATTACCTGTTGTTGTTCTTCATTATTTTATGGTAGTACAGATCCTTCTGCTTATTTAGCACCTTCTTCTTGCTTTCTTTCGGTTCTTTCTATCTTTTTGAAGCTAAGGATAAAGGGTATTCCTTACCCTTCTTTGATCTTCTCACTAGCGATATATGTCCCTATTAAGAGTGAAGAAATAGAACTCATTTTAGCAATATGAAATTCAATTTTTATAAAAATTGTTGGGGTTTTGGGGTTTTGGGGTTTTGGGGTTTTGGGG